CAGCTTTATTAATTATATTCAGTTAAACATGATGTTTCTCACTCATAATGAGCCTTCTTGTTTCACCATGTTAAACATCTTACTATAATGGACACAGCATGTATGTCAGTATCTATGTATGTAATCAAAAATACAGAAAAGTCTTTAAACAATCAACATTTCATCTCTGCATCAATATGTTGATGTTTAAAGACTTTTCTGTATTTTTGATTACATACATAGATACTGACATACATGCTGTGTCCATTATAGTAAGATGTTTAACATGGTGAAACAAGAAGGCTCATCAGGAGTGAGAAACATCATGTTTAACTGAAAATAATTAATAAAGCTGAAACCAACTCCACTCATTAGGAGTCAGGAAATCCATATTTAATTGCTTCTGGTTTTTCATCACATACCTTGTTCGTTACGTATTTTATATCAATTATGTACAAAATTAACATTTTATGGCTATTATTATCTGATACAAGTTAGTTGTAGGAAGCTTACATTCAGTACGAAAACTTGGTACTAATAATGTAGGTTAATAAATGACAAGAAAACAGAAAACACAGGGTTTCTTCTAACTAATAGTTTCTTCATAACAAGCTTTTGACTATGCTGCAGCTGTTAAAAGTTTTTTATGATAAACTATTTTCTGTGTAGAAACCATAACTTACTTCACTTTTTTGTCACTTAGTAATTAATGTTGGATAAAAATATGTGCTGTCAACTCTGATTTAACATTGGTTAAGCCTAATGAACTGAATTTGTTTATTAGGTTTTGTTGGGCGAAAGAAGGTATAAATTAGAATTGTACGAGTGTAAATCCCTAATCTGTATGTTATAAAATAAATTCAATAAAACATATATTATAATAACCATAAGATTCTTTTCAAAATTTTCAGAGCTTTCACATCAAAAGAGTTAATTCATTACTCAACCCTCTTTGTTCTTAAAATGTTTATTATTTAACCCTCTTCGTTATATAAGTTAAAGAACATGTCAATAAAAATTGGAATTCTTAATAATTTTTGTGGTGTACTTGACTAAGTCAGTGTTCTTATATATTACTTTGCAATGATTTTTGTCTATTCAAGTCTGCCAAATACACAAAATTCTGAGGCAGCCTTGGTAACCAGCACCTTGGAAGTAACTGTATTAAAACAAACACATGAAGATGCTTACAATCAGAAGAAATACAGTAAATTAGCTGGGATGATAGGACAGGTGAGATTAATGTTAAGTAATTAAAATATTAATACTAGCTCTTGGACAACTTAATGCTCGGGATAAGAATTTTCTGCTTGGGGCTTCAGTCTGTAGCTCAGATAGTAAGATGTTGATCTCAAAACACATGTGACCCTGGGCTCCTAGATTGAAACCCTGGTTAAGGCAGGTTTCTTAACATTTTGATTCCTTATAATGTGTTTTAGCATGCCAAGAAGTCACAATAAAAATTATGTAACTTTATTCTAAAACATCCTTTTGATAGTTATGTTGTAAGTATTCTTGGCATAATAGCCAAGGACACAAGATCTTGATACTTATTTTTCCAAATAAGCCTATAGAAGGCAATTTAAGTCAGGTACCCTTACCTTTGAAATATTGAAAATCTGTCTTTCTTGACTCAAACATTTTTAATGTCCTTTATCATGCTCACTTACCCATAATTATCCACTCTCCCGTCTTCCATATGCATCTTGAGACCTTACATGAGCTCTTGAGAGTGCTAGTGTTACGTTAGACTCTTCAGTATTTGAATATTTATTTCTTCCACTTTCTCTACTTGTACTTGGTTTATTGCTGGTGGCTTTAGAAATTAGCAAGTTATCAATAGACTTCATATTATACTTCTCATATTACTTCTCCAGTTTTGACCCTCAGCTTGTATGGTTATTTGGGGGCAGTTTTCCACATGGTCTTTTTCCTTGACCCATTGTCAGTTTTCTACCATGTGTGCTATGACTTGTCTTATTTCGAGACTTTCATTTTCAGCAATATTATTAGCTAATAGTTATTCTAGCTTGTCCTCCTGACTTTTTTTTTATCATCAAATATATACTTTGTACATTCTTCATAAAGTGTGTGTCCCACTGAGTTTGTTTCTAATGCCACATGGCTCTTATGTTCCAACGACACTTTAGCTTGTCTTGCTGTGTTGACTGGTTCCTCCTCTATCAGAAAGTGGCTATTGAAACAATACTTCGTGTTTCCCCAGATGTTTACTTTTGTCTTTTTGTAGTGCTGAAAAAATCAGGAGATTGGTAATTGATAATAGACCTTTTTCATCTCAGTTATCTGTACGTTCCTCATTGCAACATGAAAATCATAAGCACCTTAAGGAATTCCTTTATCACAGTTTTTGGATGATGAAAGTGGATGTAAAGATGCTTATTTACACTTTCCAGTTCTTCCCATTTTCTCAAAGTTTGCTTTTTATTCTTAGCTTTGGGAGTAGTTTTATCAGTTCACAGCCTACCTTTTCAGTCTCATTTCACAAATGTCACCAATGTATTTGCTGGTCTTCTACACATTCTCATATTGGTTTTTCTTCATTATATGCATGATTAGCTTATTTTTGCTTAGTCATCTCTCCAGTCATGAACTCAAAGTTTTTAAACCACCCATCCTCTCTGGGATGGTTTATTCATGAGTCCAAGTCTCAGCTTGTTTTTCAATATTTGTTGCATTTGGGATAAACACTTTTCAACTGTGTCCTTTGGCTTTGCAATCCCATGTGTCTCAATCGTGCCTACTTCTCTTCTCTTTTCCTAGTGACTCAGAGGTAAGTCTCAAGACTTATAATGCTAAAAACATGTTTTTATACCTATGGTGAGTATAACACTGATAGCCCATTGTGTAGCTGTGTGCTTAACAATAAACAAACAAACCTCTATCTGCCAAATATATTTTCTCTGATTTGGTGATGATGGCTTTTATATAAAAGAATTCCTTTGGGTCATGTTCACATGAAACATCTTTAATGGGATCTTGTCTCTCAGCAACGTCCATTTTTATACCTGTTGTCCCAAAGAGTTACCATTTCTCCTTCTACTGTTGATTACCTTCACATTTGTTTCATTAAATAGTTTGCAACTATAGGCTCCCCTTTCCTTCTGCCTTATCTAAGTCTGCACATTTTCATGGATACCTTTCGCATGTTTTTGGGTGCTATATTGGAGGAACATAATTTTTTGGGTCTCTCATATCATCAGGGAACACTTTCTCACATCAATATTTTGGAGCTTTGTAAAGTTCAACATTCGTATCTAGCATTCCAACCCTAGTTACACCATCATTATGCTTTTCTTCACACAACTGTCTCTTGTGGTGGTGTATATTAAATCTCAGGGTGAAACTTGATCTCACAGCCTATGTTTTATTACAATCTCTTTCTCTCTACTTCTTTGGCTACATTAGCATCATATTTATCTCTGAGCTTGTTTTCTGCCATGTGTTTTGAAAATTCTTGCAGATTCTCTTTGCAAAAGGTGGGCCCTCAGTTTTTCAGCAGTTATGCCTTTGGCTTTGTCATCCTATAATCAATGCACTTGCTACAATAATCAGTCATTTTCTTTAATAGTCTACAGTTCCATTTACTACTTTTCTAGAAGTAGATGCTTTAGCCAGTCTTCGGAGATCCTTTATCTCTCTCTCCTTACCCTCCTTTCCATCTTCTTCCTCAGTTATTGGCCTAGATCAGTTTGTTTAATTTTTAAGTTCTGTTATTGCTCATCTATTTTAGAGGAGTCCTATTCCATTATCTATTTTGAAAAATTTACTGCACCAATGTCATTCATCACTTACAGCTTCAAGGCTGGCTGTTATGGGTCCCTTTGCTAGAGAAGTCAGCTTCTCTTGTAGCATATCTCAAATGTTTTCCACATTCTTGCAGATGTTCATCCCTCACCATTTACCAATTTCATTAGTCTATCTTCAGGAGTTTATGCCTTTGACATTTTTTTATGTTTGTATTTCTTCAATTCCTCAGCAGATTAACTGGTTTTTCATGTGCTTATGTCATAATTGTCACTTGTCTGCTAATTCTATTTCAGGCTACAGGATATCCCTCTCTGCCATCTTTAGGTACCACAGAAGATATCTTCCCCTCTCTTTCAGGACCTTCCTTTATTACCTAGATGATGTCCTTTGTTGGATTTAAGTCTGGTCATTACCTATCTTACTTTTTCTCTTGAACCTTTAGTGACTTGTACACTCTATGTCTTTCCTTGAAGACATATTTTCTGCTGTTTGTTTTAGGTAGGAGATGATCAGACATTTTTGCCATTGATGCTTCTTTTACTCTATTTTTATCCAAGATGATTCTGTATTTATATTCTGTTAGAACCTTTCTAACAAAGACTTGTACTATGAGAGACGGTCACTGCTGTTTTTCCGCAATTGTGTTACACACCCTGACTGACTCATATTTTCGTTCAGAAGAACGTTTTCTTTGTCCTGTCAGGACTGTTTATTTGCTACCTTGCCTGAACAGAATTTCTCAGAGAGGAATGGCATCAGTTGTTTATACCTTCTTATGTATTTCCTTCCACAAGGTTTGCTTCATTGCATATTAAGAATTGGCTTGTGCAGCTGATACTTCATCTTGTCTCTATCAAGATGTACCCACAAACCTTCAGTATGAATTTCAGGTTTCATCACAACAAAATTTGCCATTTGGTTTCCTGGATTTAGTACCCTTTAGAAGACATCTTACAAGACTGGCCTGTAAACAGTTCCAAATACTTTTATTGAATTTAGTTTCATTACATTGCTGTCTCTTCAGCTTCAAGATTTTGTGTGTCGTCTGTGGTCACTCTCCAAGCCAGATAGAATCCATAACAGGTTATTCCGACACGATACATTACCTCCATTCACAAAAAAAACTATTCTTGTTCAGTGCTGCCCTCTATATGCAAAATAGTTTTCCCTATGCCACGAGCATTGAGCTCCCACCTACCCTAATATCAACACAGTTCAAATGTGTCTCACATGTAAATCATCATGCAACAAACCTCCACTAGTAGGAGTGCGACACACCTTCCTGACACATGTGACTCCCTCTTTTTGATTCTACCAAACTATCACTTCTCGTTTGGCAGTGCTATCATCAAGACTTTTTTTGTTTGTGCTCTCTACTCTTTGTTTTATTTTGAAATTTCATATGAAATGGAGATATTTTCAGTTTTTTTCTTCTTCATTTTACCTGTTTTAAGTGATAACTTACCTTTATTGTTCTTCTTTTTTTTGGGGGGGGGGGTTCACTAAAGCTTATGTTTCCACTTTAAAAATGTTATTTATTTCCAGCACAATTACTTAAGCTTCAGGTGGTGGTACTCGACTGAGGAATTGTCAGCTTTAATATATTGGGAAATTGATCGTTATATGAGTTGACCTTCATCAGGCCTCGAGTTTGGTGGCTCAGACATTTTGGTTTGTCTAATTTGTTATAGCTTTTTGAATATTTTGTATTAATATTATTATTTGTAGTTATTTGGTTTCAATGACATACATTTAGTTAGCTTTGTACCTACTTCTTGTAAGGATAGGGTTTTTTAATTAAACTTAAAGTTTAGTGATATTCTTTTATACTACGTTAGTTTAGGCTTAACACGTGTCTTTGCAATTTTAAGTTTACCTGTCATTTATCTTTTTGGTAAATTGTAAATTATGTTAAGTATATTGTTTCTTCAATAAATACCATCTATTAAATTTTTTATTGTCAATATACACTTACCTACTTTACAATATAACAACTTTTTCATTTTCATAATTAATTATATTTTATACTTTTTCCGATTAATTTCGTCTTTGAGGACCCCACTTTCTCCCACTATTGCTCACCTTCCTCCTCAAACTGCCAAACTCACTTGGGACGATGTCTCTTTTGACAATTTTCTCCCACCTGATTATGAGTTGGCCTTCCCAGGCCTCTACTGCAGAGTCTACTAAGCCTACCTCAGCCCTTTTTATACACATTTCACAGTTGTTGTTTTTTGTTCCTCCTTTTCCAGACATTTTGGTTCATGCTGGGCCTTTCTGGTCTCTCTTTTGAGAGATGGTGTTGGCAAGCCTCGCCCTCCACATGCTTTGGTTCATTTTACCATAGCTTACCATCAGGCAGATTGTTTTTTGTTTTTTTTGCTTCTCTGCACTTTGAATCTCTGTTGCCTGTATGGCAAGCAGAATCTGTTAATCCTATCTTTTTCTCCCTAGCCAAGTTTTCC